TAAAATTTGAAGTTTAAAATTAATATCAACAATTGATTTTTGTTTGTTTCTTTTAAGTTCTTTTTTACAAGAACAAAGTTTTTTCCAATTTTTGTTAAAGATAGAATAATATGTTGTATATTTTCCTTTAGATTTAGGTTTTTCAAAATCTAATTTTTCATTAATATCTTGCCAAAAAATATGATTATCAAGAATATTTTTCCATTCTTTGCAAACGAGCGAAGCATAAAAAAAATCTTGAGGATTATCAATAAATTAAAAACTAAAGAAATAGGATTTATAATTTCACATGTAGTTTTTTTATTAGAAGATTCTTTGAAAAAAAATATTTTTATTTTTTATATAATTTTTTTTAATAAAATTTATTAGAAATATTAAATTTTTATAGTTTTTTATTTTCTCTGAGTCAGAAAAAAAAATTGAATGACCGCCCTCCGCTGAGGGGCCATACGCGGTGTGATACGGTAAACAAAATGTGACTGTTTAGTCCTGTTGCAACTATGGTGCAAGCCATAGGTGTAACAGGACTAAATAGGAACATTTTGTTAAAATTTTGCTAATGGCCAAATTTAATATTACCTGCTATAAATTTTTTCATAAACTTTTAAAATTATTCAAGCTATCAAAACGAATTTAATAAAACACTTTTGCATATTTTTTTTATTTTTTGATTTGTTTACTAATTTAACAGTTTTATGAAAAAATTTTTCATATATTGCTATGAAAATTTAAAGTTATATATTTTCAAATATGTAGAATGCTTTTTTTAATAATTTATGTAATGTTTACAATGCCAATTTGTATATTTTAATGACCAAACTTTCTTTTCAAAAAATCACTAAATTTTTTTGACTCAAGCTTAAACTATAAATAAAAAGTTCAAAAGTTACTTAAATTTTATAAAAATTTTATATATAGTGCATATAAAATGGTATAGGGAATACTTTTATTAAAAAATAAATTACATTTTGTATAAAAAAGTTAAAAACTTTTATATATAGCGAATTTATTCTCCAAATATTGATAATTATCAATCATGAAATCACATATTTGTAATACAAAACACATGACTAGCAAATAATATATATATGCACGTAACTTCAAGAGTTTTTTATAACTTTCTGTTCTCAAATAACTTAAGTTTTCTTTCTATTTACTGTTTCTCAGAGACTCCTCCAGTTTAGATACCAAA